TGGGGTGCAGCAGGTGGCATAGTAGTTAAGGTGCTGGATGGACTCCCACATAGCCAACCATGGTTCAAGTCCCTAACCTGGTGGCTTGCTTGCTTTCTTGGTTTCTCTCTCTCTCTGTATTTCTCTGGTCAGATTTAAAAATAATAATAATAAATAAGGTTGAATAAAAAATAACTGTAGGACCAGCAGATGGCATAATAGTTACATCATTGGACTCCCATGTAGTCGACCGCGATTTGAGTCCTGGACCCGGTGGCTTACACTTATGGCGGGCGTGTGTGTGCATGCCCAAGATCCCGAGAGGAGAATGGAGGAGAAAGGATTGCAGCATGGTCATCCTATTCCTCCCTGAAGAGTGATTTCTCATTTTCTGTCTCTTTGTCTCTCTTTGTCTTTCTGGAGACCGCATGTGCCCTATAGCAAAAATCTCTACAAAAAAAAAAATAATTGTAAAACAAACAAACAAAAAGAATTAATTGGAAAAAGACAAAAAGCAGAGGCAAAGAGAACAGTTACAAAACTACTAGAGATTTGTTTTTTCTTTAATAGTACAATATTTTAATCAAGAGACAGTGGTGCGTTGGATTAGGGCTGAAGTGACAATAGAGATAAAAAAGAGACAATACATTCTAGACACTTTTTAGACACAGAAGTGACAGGACCAGTTATTATTCAGTAAATGGACAGCTAATCCCAGAGTTTGTACTGGGAAAGAGCCAGAAAATAGAGCTTGTTGAACTAGACAGACTCACTTCATTCTGACTTCGTTTAAGGTAAATTGGCTTAACTCAAATCTGAATAAAATGAGTAGCCGAGTTCATATATTGAAAATTCATCTTCTGATTCCCTTTCTTATTATCGAGCTCATTAAAAACTCCAACAGCAGCGCTGGCATGTGGCATGGTATTTAAGGGCACTGGACTCCCATGTGTCTGACCACTGTTTGAATACCAGACCTAGCAGGTTGCTTTTTCACTTTCTCTCTCTCTCACTCTGTCCCTCTTTGGTCAAATTAAAATAAAATAAAGAAAGTTAAATAAAATAATTACTAACAGCAACAACAACAACAACTTCAACAACAAAAGAGGTGGAACAAATATTAGACCTAGGGAGTGCAGTGGGAAATAAACTTTGATCAACTATAGTGTGATTAATAATATCTAACACATAACACCTCCTAAGTACTGTTCTATGTATTTTACATATGCTCATTTATTCCTCATTAATCTGAGATAGCTCTATTATACTAATCACTTCTACTTTACAATTAAGAAAATTAAGTCATATGGACCAGCAGGTGGTGTGGTGGTTAAGGGCACTGGATTCCCACATGACCAACCACTGTTCCGAGTCCTAGACTGGCGGCTTGCTTTCTCACTTTCTCTCTCTCTCTCATTCTGTCCCTCACTGGTCAAATAAATAAATAAATAAATAAATAAATAAATAAAATAATTCTTTAAAAGAAAAAAGAAAATGAAGTCATACAAATCCACATAGCTAGTAAGTGACAGAGCCAGGCTTTGTACTCAGTCCACCTCCAGAATCCATGCTCTTAGCGACTAGGATCTATCTGTTAGTTGTTCAGAAGGCAGAATCTTTGACTGCCGTGAAGCTTGCCTTACCTGACTTTATTCACATACTCAAACTATTCCTAAAGTAATTACCCAGACCAACTATTTTATGCATTCATTATACAAGTTACATATTCAATAGACGCTTATACTAAGGAAAGCTGTTTTAGCCAAGAAATTTTAAATTTAATTAATAATTGAGAATGAGCTTACTCACTTTAGTTGATATTTGAACTTCCTCAGTTATGAACACCTCTTCAATCTGGACTGCATCTCTGGGAAAATATCCAAAGTCCTTTCCTTTCTATCAAAATGAAGAACAAAAACAGTCAAGGAAAAATGCACAAAGCAGTAACAACTATTGAGCCTAGTTTTTGGTTTTTTTTTTAGAGAGATTTTTGCCAAAGGGCATATGCGCTCACCAGAGAGACAGAAAGAGACAGAGGGAAAGTGAGAGATTACTTCCCTGGGGGGGATGGCCATGCTGCAATCCCTTCTCCTCCATTCTCTTCTTGGTATTTTGGGCACACATGCACATGCACCTGGTGCGAGTTTTAAGCTGCCAGATCCACAACTGTAACTGTGGTCAATTACATGGGAGTCTAGCAACGTAACCATTATGGCATCTGCTGGCCCCAAGTCAAATTCTGCCCTGTTTTCTAGACTTTTATTTGTCTACTTAAATCACATGCACTAATTGGCTGCCAATTTCCACCTAAAAGACAGTGAATGAAGTCATATTCTTTTTTTTATTCACAACAAAGCATAGATTTAAAGGAACACAGAGCCAAACTGTAAGATGCCCATTTCAAATGGCAGAAAGAAAACTGCCCACATACTCATTTTCTTTCCTTTTATGTTCTTTTTTTAAGAAGTTTTTTAAAATTATTTTATACATTCGATCACATTATTTAGCTTACAAAGTGAACATTTCAATATGTGACCATTTCTCCCCAGTCCAGTTGATCAAAATATCTTCAATAGATAACACTACAGCTCCCCATCCCGTCAATGCTCTGCCTCCATATCCACTGCTGAGTGAAGCAAGCCAGGCTATGAAGAAGAGACATTGTATATCCCCACTTAATATATACCGAGTATCCACACTCTATGACTGAAACTGATTGACTAAAGGATGTACAAACACAAGAGATGGGTGTGAATACCAGATGTGGTGTGTGTGGAGGAGTGGGGCCTGGGGAAGGACATTTGGAGGAGGGATTTATTTAATTCCACTTATCTTTTTTTTTTTTCCTTTTCTTAAATTTATTTTTTATTTTTATTTTGACCAGAGAAAGAGAGAAAGGGAAAGCAAGAAAGCAAGGCACCAGGTCAGTTACTTGAACCACATTCATGTGGGAGTTCAGCACCTTAACCACTATGCCACCTGCTGGTTCTACTTTTTGCTTTTGGAGAGGTTTTTGCTGGAGGGTGTATGAGCTCGCCAGAAAGACAGAGAGATACAGAGAGACAGAAAGCAAGAAATCACCCCCCAGGGGGGATGGCCATGCCACAATCCCTTCTCCATTCTCCTCTCGGGATCTTGGGCATGCACGCACATGCACCCAGCATGAATTTAAGCCACCAAGTCCAGGACTGGAACCACAGTCAACTACATGGGAGTTCAGCAATGTAGCCATTACGCCATCTGCCCTCCACTTTTTATGTTCTTTAATGCCCTTCCTTGTACAGATGGATCACAGATTTATATTAGTAAATGCGAAAGGCAAAGAGACGGCAGTAGCAAGCCACGCTCGTTGGGGCTGTGACATATTCAGCATTTTCAAGTAATTTTCAGCAAATTCAGGTAAGAGATTTAAACTCTGAAGGGCCACAGATGGATTCATCAAGATAGTAAATGTCCACAAGTCCTCCAGAAAGGATTCAGTCCCATTTAACTTTTCTGAGTAACTTGGTAATAAAGATCTTCCTAACCCAGTTCAAACACGTGTTGGATGTCCCCTAAGAATGAAGGCTTCACACAACCACTTTCGGCCCATTTGCTACTTCTGTTAAAGTTTAAAGAATCTATTTCATGGGAGCCAGCAGGTAGTGTAGTGGTTAAGGGCGCTGGACTCCCTCATGGCCGACCGCAGTTTGAGTCCCAGACCTGGCAGTTTGCTTTCTTGCTTTCCCTTTCTCTCTCCCTCTCACTCTGTCCCTATCTGGTCAAATTAAAATAAATAAATAAATAAATAAAGTTAAATAAAATAATCCTTTAAAAAAGAATGGGTCCAGGGACCAGCAGTTAGCGTAATGGCTATGTCGCTGGACTCCCACGTAGTCGACCGCGGTTCGGGTCCCGGACCCGGTGGCTTAAACTCACGCCGGGCGCGTGTGCGTACGTGCCCAAGATCCCGAGAGGAGAATGGAGGAGAAGGGATTGCGGCGTGACCATCCCCCCTGGGGGGTGATTTCTCGCTTTCTGTCTCTATGTCTCTCTCTGTCTGTCTGGTGAGCGCACGCGCCCTATAGCAAAAACCTCTCCAAAAAAAGAAAAAAAAAAAAAAGAATGGGTCTAGCAAGTGGCAACATGGTTAAGGCACTGGACTCCCACATGGCTGACCACCATTCAAGTCCTGGACCCGGTGACTTGAAACACATGCCAGGCACATGTGCATGCATGCCCAAAATCCCAAGAGGAAAATGGAGGAGAGGGTATTGTGGCGTAGCCATCCCCCCAGGGGTTAATTTCTCACATTCTCTCTCTGTTTCTGTCTCTCCAGTGAGTACACATGCCTTATAGCAAAATCTCTAAATAAGAAAAAAAAAAAACCATAATTCTTTTCATCCTCTGATCCAACACCATTAGCCCTCAAGTGTGATTCTTCTAGCTCTTCATTCGTGGCACGTGTTAGGAAGCTGACAGCCTGTGAGTCCCCGTAGGATTCCTTGAACATGTATCTGCGTGGACTAAATAGCTAATGCACAAAGAGTGCTTGAGACTTGACTCTGGCTCCACAAACTAAACACTGTTATTTCCACATGTAGTAAACACCTACTGTGTCATTTTATGACTGCACAGAATGCCTCCAATGCATTCAAGACACAGACTGGCATTTTAAAGGCACTCTAAGCAGAAAGAATCTTGCAAGCTGAAGAAGCCAGACACATTAGTAACAACCAAAGGTTTGGTCCTACTGCCTTTGATAGGAAAAGAAGGATTGCTGTAGAATTTGCTCCTTTGGACAGTGAACACAGAGGCTGACAAGGGAAAGACCGATGCATATGCAGTATGGAAGTGATATATGTCTGAAGTTGGTTGGGAGTGAAATCACTTGTCATAGCATCTTTGCATTAAAGCACAATGAATCAAAGATACAAACTTTCAAATGAAAACATTCATCATTAATTTTCTTATCTTATAGATTCAGAGATGATACAGGTCTCTAGGAATTTCAGTGTACTAGGACTTTGGGCCAAATAAAAGGCTCTCCTAGTTGGGTATTCACCCCCCCACCCCGCCCAGAAAAATTCCTACACCTAGCTTCTCTAGGTGCCCAACATTTCTGAAGGTCTCTTTAATAACAACTCAGCTCTTTATTTGCTCAAAAAGACGTATCTTTTCATCTGATTAGCTAAAATGTACTTGTCTCTCCAAATTTTGATCACTGGCAGCACCAGGAAGTGGCTGGGGGTGCCTCATCATCCCATAATCTCAGTCAGTACTCCCCAGATCTCTCCAAATAAATATAAAATCTAATTTTAAAAACTATGTGGGCTGAAGGTCAGCAGGTAGCATGGTGATTAAAGTGCTAGATTCCCACCTGGCTTACTGTGGTTCAAATCCCATACCTGGCAGCTTGCTCTCTCACTTTTTTTTTCTCTCTCTCTGTCTGATAAGTAGACATACCATAGCTAATTTTTTAAAATAATAATAAATAAAATTAAATAAATAATTCTTTAAAAAAAAATTGTGTGGGCTGAAGCCAAGCAGATGGTGTGGTGATTAAGGTGCTAGATCCCACATGGCAGACTGCATGGTTCAAGTCCCAGACCCAGTGGCTTGAAAATCATGACATATGAGTGTGCATATGTGCCCAAGATCCTGAGAGGAGAATGGAGGAAAAGGAACTGCAGTATGGTCATCCTCTCCTGGGGGTGATTTCTCACTTCCCATCTCTCTCTGTCCCTCTCCATGAGCACACATACCCTAAGGCAAAACAAACAAACAAACAAAAAAGTGTAGGCTTAGCTTCATGGCCTAAAGGTTAAGGCAGCAGATCCCACATGGCCAACCACACAGTTCAAGTCCAGATCCAGCAGATTGAGGAACATGCCTGACCAATGAGCATGAAAGTCCAAAATCCTGTAAGAGTTAGAGGAAAAGGGATTGTGATATGATCGTTTCTCACGGAGGGTACTTTCTCCTCTCCCTCTCTTTCTCTCTGATGATTGCAAGCACCCTGTAGTAAAACCAAAACCAAAACCAAAACAGCTATGCATACTAAGGCATTCTCTCAGCTCTCCACCCCAACCAGGCTATCTTCCCAACATCCACTTTTTAACAGAAATTTTGGAAGCACCACATAGTCATTTTTTTCTTTATTTGAATATATTAAGGGCTTTTAAATATTTTTATATGATGCTTTGAAATTCTTTGTTTCTTTAAAAATTAAAAGTAGATACCCTTATGCAAGTTGGTCATTCATTCAGCATTCAATTTTTAAAACCGATACTTACACTTCCTGCCCACAAATCTTCCCTTTCTCCTGCAAGTTTTATATACACAGATATCTCTTCTCCCTTAGTGAAGTTCAGGTATCGGCAATCAGGTCCTCTGTAATCTCTCGTGGCTGAGACTCTGCTTATTAAAGCTATGTAAACATGTAAAGAAACATACACACTAAGTTAAAATGTTATTTCCCCTGTTCCATCTTACCCTCCTCCAATCCGGCCTTTGCATTGGGTTGTTGGAAAAATCATGACACATTTAGTCATGGCACATTTTGACATAGAAAAAATACATCATGACTTTCCCAACAACCCAATTTTTCCAAATGCTAATTTCTTTATATCAGTTATGGCCTCAAAAATCTACATAGACTTCCAGCTGTACACAGTCAAGTCTAAGCTTTTTGACTTGATTCCAAGGCTGTCCATAACCTGGTCTCCCTCCCCTATCTAAAGGACCTCCCCCTATTCTTCAGGACTACAATCAAACTATTCTATCCATTGTCCCTGAAATAGGTTACTATCATTCTCCAGTCAGTAAGGAATGAGAAGATTAGTTTTCTTAATGGCACCTGTGATACTCCAGGCATTATGATAAACATGTCCATATTTTTATTTTATTACATTTTCAAAACAGATCTATGTGGTAAATCATCTCAGTCTAACAAATGAGCCCTTAGTTAAGGCTCAGAGAGTTGCTCACACAGCCCTGGTGGTGTCAGAGTTGCACTGAGGTTCTTTTCACTGCAACATCCCCTTCATTATTCTGAGCTCCTGATTTTTCCTCCCTGCTCTTTCCTCAACCTAAAAGCCTTTCATATACTGAACCCATATTTTACTTCCACTAATGAGGTCTTCCTGATCATTCCAGGCTACTCTGACTGTCCCTTTTCTGAGCTTCATTAAAACCTATTACCCTTACTACATTGGATCGCAGTTTACCACTTCATACTGGCCTGTCTTGGCCCTATCCACTAGGATGAAAATTCGTAGAGAACAAAAAGCTTCTTACATTTTACTTTATTCCTCTTAGATGCGCAACGCTCACTCCCTAGACCCAGCACATAGTAGGCTCTCAATAGCTATGAATGAATAATAATCACAAGAGCTAGATTCAGTCCTTTAACATCCAAAGTAATTCACAAACTATATTAACTACTGTAATTACACTGTCATGTGTAAAATAAAACATTTTGATTAAGTCATTAAAGTTAAAATGACATTATAAATTAGTATAAATTTTAATGTTTCCGAGACCAGCAGTTGGCATAATGGCTATGTTGCTGGGCTCCCATGTAGTCAATCACGGTTCAAGTCCCGGACCCGGTGGCTTAAACTCACACCGGGTGCATGTGTGTGTGTGCCCACGATCCAGAGAGGAGAATGGAGGAAAAGGGATTGTGGTGTGGCCATCCCTCCAAGGGGTGATTTCTCGCTTTCTGTCTCTCTGTCTCTCTCTGTCTTTCTGGCGAGCACACGTGCCATATAGCAAAAACCTCTCCAAAAAAAAATAATAAAAGTGAATGTTCCCTTTTCTTTCTTTCTTTTCTTTTCTTTTTTTTTTATTAAGGTTTTTGCCATAGGGTACATGTGTTCATCAAAGAGAGACAGAAGAGACAGAGACAGAGAGCGGGAAAGTGAAAAGTCATCCCCCAAGGGGAACAGCCACACTGTAATCCCTTCTCCTCCATTCTTCTCTTGAGACTTTTAGACACACACACACACACATGCCTGGCATAATTTTCAAGCTACCAGATCCAGTCAAACCACAGTCAACCATGTAGGAGTCCAGCACCTCAACCACCTGCTACCGCTGGCTCTTTAAATGTTTCTTTTTCATGTTCTGTGTCTGACTCTATGGATATTAAAATGAGCTTGCAATATAAAGAGGTAAAAGGGACCAGCAGACTGCATGGTAGTTAAGGCAACAGGATCCCATGTAGCCAATGGGGCTGTTTTAGTCCTGGATGTGGAGACTTGAAAAACACTCTGGGCACATGTGCGTGCATGCCCAAAATCCTTAGAGGAGAGTGAAGGAGAGGGATTGCAGCATGCCCATCACCCCCTCTACACCCCCAGGGTGATTTCTCACTTTCTCTCTCTCTCCCTCTCTCTCTGTCTCTCTCTTTCTCTTCCTGGTGGGCACACATGCCCTGTAGCAAAATTTAAAGAGAAAGAAAGGTTATTATCATAAAACATTATCTACTAAACTTCTCTGTCTATTAAAATATGTGGTGGCATGGTGATTGAGATACTGGAATCCCATATGGCTGACCACAGTTGGAGTCCAGATCCAGTGACTTGAAAATCATGCCAGGCTCAAGTTTGTGCCAAAAATCCCAAGAGAAGAATGGAGGAGAAGGGATTTCAGCATGACTGACCCCAGGGGATGATCTTTCACTTTCCCTCTATCTCTCTCAATCAAGCACATGAACCCGATTTTTATAGATTATTTATGTGGATACGAGTAACATTCTGTATTTTTAATTTACATGTTGCCAAACAGAAATAATTTTCATATATTGGAAATAAAGGATTTATTTAAAGCAACTCTAGGGGCTAGCAGTGGTGGTTAAGACATTGGATTCCCATGTGACTGGACGTAGATGGAGTCCCAGAACTGGAGGCTTGAAATTAAAACTAGGCACATGTGTGTGAGTGCCCAAAATTCCAAGAAAAGAATGCAAGAGAAGGTATTGCAATATGACTATCCCACTATGGGGTGATTTCTCACTTTCCCTCTCTCTGTCTCTCTGTCTCTCCAGTGAGTGCACATGTCCTATGGCAAAAACATATAGTAAGAAAAAAAATAAAAACTCCAATATATTGAGATTCAATTTTATTTTGTACCATAATGCTAAAATAACAGAAAATATTTTTTTGTCATCTTTGCTAGAAGGCCTGTTTGATCACAGAGGAGGGGAAGGGAACGAGAAATCACCCCCCCAGAGGGGATGGCTGTGTCACAGTCTCTTCTCTTCCCTTCTCGTCTCATAATTTTGGGCATGCACACACATGTGCCCAGCAAGTTTTTCAAGATTCCGAGTCCAGGATTCAAACCACACAGTCAGCCATGTGGGATCCAGCCACCTTAACCACCAGGTGGTCCATAAATTAACCACCTGCCTGGTCCATAAATTAAGTTTTTAAGAAAACAGAAGATAATTTTCTTATGGTAGATATAGGAAGCTTAATATTCAGTGATATAAATAAAATTATATTTAATCCTAACACTGATTTCAGCATTTTTAACAAGTAAGCACAGAAATTATTAACATTTGATAAAGTTAGCAGAATAAATCATTATGGTTTATAATAGAAACACTTTAATAAGCTCATGATAATTAGAAAGTGCTGACTGTGAAATAAAAACTACAAGTAGAAAAACTTCATGAATAAAACATTGCAAATGGCCTAATGTCTTTCATATATTCAAGTCAATTATATATATATATTTTAAATAGTAAAATTGATGATTCATTTGTTTCTAAGGTATGGATTAATCATATAACTTCTAGTATATTTCTATATTAGGCCATTTGTACATCCATTATAAAAACTATCTATATTAAATACTATTTGTACACATACATTAAATATCACTACAATTGCTTTGCTTCCAGCATTTTTTAAGCTGAGCCATAATTCATAATTCAAATATTTCTGAATGATATTAATATTCATTTATCATGCATGTCCACAATAACATTTTATGTCATTTCAGAGACTCAATTTAAGAGGAAAAGAAGGGGGGAATAAACTTACTTTCACATTCCACGTCGCCACATTTTTTAAGGTCTGCCAGCAGTTTTGTACCCTCTAGACACTTTGTCAGATAAATAACCAGAAGAAGGATTCTGTGAACTGCAAACTCCGCCATGCTACAACAAGCAACCAGGAATTCCAAACAAGGTTTAAGCCAACTGTTTCAGTGGTAGGTATGCCAGTCCAAGCAGGAGATGCCCTCTCTCTTCATTGTAAGTAAAAAGATCGTAGGATTTTTCAATCACTTCACAGTCACATTTTCTATCGATGTGTGGGCTTAACTTGAGGGAGAAACACTGTTCTCAATCTGCAGTGTCAGGTATCCAGATAATACATAGGGTTTAATAATTAACAGGTATTTTCAGTTGGGGCTAATGTCTTAGAAATGTAGACCATGTGAAACTGCCACACTTAAAGGCACCTTGCGTTGGACAAGACCATTCTTAAATACTAACTTCAATGGAAGAAGAATATAATTGTATGTAGAAGCAGTAACACTTGATATTAAAAGCGTGGTTTTGAAATACCAAAACGAAAATTATTTGAAAAAAAAATTCCACTTTCATATTTAAAACTCTTCAGTGTTGTTATGAACTTAAATTCGGTGGCATCGGGACCAGCAGAGAGCATAATGTTATGTAGCTGAACTCCCACGCAGTCGATGGAGGTTCAAGTCCCAGACCCAGCAGGTTTAGACTCACGCCGGGTGCGTGTGCGAGTGTGCCCAAGATCCCAAGAGGAGAACGGAGGAGAAGGGATTGCGGCGTGGTCATTCTCCCTGGGGGAGATTTCTTGCTTTCTGTCTCTGTCTCTGTCTCTCTCTCTCTCTCTGTCTGGCGAGCGCACGCGCCCTATAGCAAAAACCTCTAAAAAAAAGAAAAAGAGAAAAAGAAAATAAAATTGGTGGCATTTGGGCCAGCCAGATGGCATGATGGTTAAAGCAGCTGGAGCCCACAGGGCCAACTGCATGATTCAAGTCCTAGACCTGGTGCTTTCTCACTTTCTCTCTCCCTCTCTTGGTTTCTCTCCAGTAAGTGCACATGCCCTATTGCAAAAAATAGATAAAATAAATGCATTTAAAAAAAAAAGAAAAAATGTTTATAATTGTAGTATTTGGTTAAGAATCATAATATGTTCCTGGTTATATCTTAAGTTCTTAAATACATGATTTGGAGGTGATCTGATGGCCTGATGGTTGAGGGAGCTGAATCCCACATTGCTGACTATGTGGTTCAAATCCTGACTCTGGAGACTTAAGGAATATGCCAGACATGTGTGCTTATGGGAAAAAAAGAGAGGAGGAAATTATGGGAATTGGAGGTTCTTTCTCTCTCTGCGCCCCCTCTCTCTGATGAGTATAAGAACACTCTCCCAAGGTTTTTATAAATAAATAAATAAATAAACTGATTTAACCTTCACCCCAGTTTTCTGAGATAGTTAATATTATCACTCACATTTTTGCATATAAGGAAACTAAGGCACAAATCCCTTCCATTGGCACATAATGAGTGGAGAGATTTAACTAGGCACTGTGACACCCCATACTCATAACCACTGCTTTACCTGCAAGAATCAAATATTTGCCACAGAAATATGTCTACTCTGGGGAACCAGCAGTTAGCATAATGGCTATGTCGCTGGACTCCCACGTAGTCGACCGCAGTTTGCGTCCCGGACCTGGTGGCTTAGAACTCACACCCGGCGCGTGTGCATGCGTGCCCAAGATCCCGAGAAGAGAATGGAGGAGAAGGGATTGCGGCGTGACCATCCCCCCTGGGGGGTGATTTCTCGCTTTCTGTCTCTATGTCTCTGTCTGTCTGTCTGACGAGCGCACGCGCCCTATAGCGAAAACCTCTCCAAAAAAAAAAAGAAGAGAAATATGTCTACTCTGCAACAGTACTGTTCCAGAAACAGGAGGTAGGGAATTATTCCATGTATTTAAAATTGTATGCATAGTTCTATAAGTACAGAGAAAATGAGAGAAAGAGATCTGAAAAAATGATCTCTCATATGCTGGGATTGTATAATATAATCACAGATGATATTTATTTTTTCTTAATAATTTTTTAATTGTTTGGCTTTCTTTTTTAAGAATTATCTATTTCAATTTTATTTATTCATTCATTTTATTTTAATTTGACCAGAGAGAGAGAGAGAAAGTGAGAAAGCAAGGGCTCAAACCGTGTTCGGCCACGTGGGAGCGTCCAGTGCCTTAACCACCAGGCCACCTACTATTCCCTTGGCTTTCTTTTTTTCTTTTCTTTTTTTTTTGAGATGTTTTTGCTATAGGGTGTGTGTGCTTGCCAGACAGACAGAGAGAGACAGAGAGACAGAAAGGGAGAAATCACCCCCCAGGGGGGATGGCCATGCCGCAATCCCTTCTCCTCCATTCTCCTCTCGGGATCCTGGGCACGCACGCACACGTGCCCAGCGTGAGTTTTAAGCCACCGGGTCTGGGACACGAACCGCGGTCGACTACGTGGGAGTCCAGCAACATAACCATTACGCTAACTGCTGATCCCCCTTAGCTTTCCTTTTTTAAAAAATCGTGAGCACTGAGGCCAGCCAGGTGGTGTAGTGGTGAAGGTGGCTGGATACCACTTGGCCGATTTTGTGGTTTGAGTCCAGACCTGGTGGCTTGAAAAGCACACCAGGCATGTGTGATGCATGCCCAAAATCCCAAAAGGAGAATGAAGGAGAAAAAATTGGGGTGTAGCCATTCCCCCAGAGGGATGATTTCTCACTTTCTTTCTCTCTCTCCCTCTCTCTCTGTTTCTCTCTCTCCCCTCAGCAAGCACAATACCCTACAGCAAACAAGAACAAAAAAGTTGGTGAGCATTTATCATTTTAGAATAATAGATCTATGCAAACCAAGTCACCTGAGTGCTACTATCTCTTGAAAAATCAAAGCCCAATAAATATTGGAAACTTGTGCAAAACGTTAAATTTCAGCAGATTTTTGGAAACCATGGTTGTCCCTTTTCAATATTGGGAAAATATTTTTCTAAGGACCTCTTCCCTGTAGGATAGTTCAGGGCAGAATTCAGCCCTAGCAATGACACCACACTCCCCTCTAGTGCCTGACACAAATAACACAAATACCCATGCCTGAGCAAACCAAGGCAAAGGACTTTTTGCTTTCAAGATCTTATAAAAAGGAAGCGTGTTTATGCATTTGTTTCCCAAAAGCAATGACCAATAGGAAGGCTGCTCTCTCAGAGCTAAAACTTTAATCTCGTTTGAAAGAATCTGGAGAGCATGCATCTGAGGATTATCTGGCTTGCAACAGAGCATTGTGTAGTACACAAACACACATACAGAGGTGTAGGGTAGTTCCTTGAATACCTTCACAAATCTATAAGTTACACTATCAAAGACATTTTTAAAAGACATTGTCAGATATTTTAGTTTCTTGAATACCGTCACAAATCTATAAGCCACATTGTCAAAGACATCTTTAAAGGATCCTTTAAAGCTGATCCTTTTAAAGGATCAGCTCTTCAGTTTCAAAGCTTGGCATACGTGGTGAGGCCGTCCTAACTGAGGGGGTGATTTCTCACTTTCTCTCTCTCATTCTGTGTCTCCGGCAAGCGGATATGTTCTAGAACAAAAATATCTCTCTAAAAAAATGTCTAAATACATACCTGAATGAATAAATGAACTAACTTCAATAGCAAGTCAAGCCTATGACTAAATGAAATTCTATATTCAGCTACTTCCTCAATGCTCTCTCATTTCAAACAGAAATTCAAATACTCTTTTTAAATTACATTTTCTTTTCTGTATAAAATTGGACAAAAAGAATTGAATTCAGAGCCAGCTCCATGGCCGCGCAGTTAAAAGAACTGGATGCCACATAGCCGACTTTGCAGTTCTAATCCTGACCTTGATGCCTTAAAAACATGTACGTGCATGTACGTGCATGCCCCAAATCCTGTAGGATGAAGAGATAGAGGAGATGGAATTATGGTGTGATCACAACTCACTGGGGAGGGTGGGAGGTTAGTGGTTAGTTACTGTGTCCCTATCCCTTTCTATATATATTTCTCTGTCTCTCTTTAGCAAGGGTATGTGCCCTCCCATGTGGGAGTCCAGCACTCTTAGCCACCACACCACCTGCCAGCCCCAGCAGTAGTAAAAGTTTAAATGTCTGTGGCCAGCAGATGGTGTGGTGGTTAAGGCATTGGACTCCCACATGTCTGACTGCAGTTCAAGTCCCGAACTCAGTGGCTTGAAAATCAGAACAATTAAATAAATGTTAAAAAAACAATTAAGTTTAAATAGCCAGCAAGTATGGCTACAAAAAGTCTTTGATTTCCCACAGATGCTTAACGAGTTACTATATATTGGTAGATCAGTGAGCAGCAATCTAGAAATATTTGGTATTACTACTAATTTTCAATTATCAATAACCTAGGATTATAAAGAACCTTGTGGGTTAATATAATATATTTATATACCTTCTTTATTCCCTGCTGCCATTCCTTCCCCATGCAAGCACCCTTCTTTCTTTCTTTTGGTGTTCATATCCCTAAATACCTCATGCCCCAAGCTTTGTTAAGAAAAAATAAATTGGGGCTGGCAGGTAACATGGTGGTTAAAGGTGCTGGCCTCCCACGTGGCCGACTATGGTTCAAATCCTGGACCTGGTGGCTTCCTTTCTCACTTTCCCTCTCTCTGCCTCTCTCTCTCTGATCAAACTGGAAAATAATAATAATAAATAAAGTTAAATGAAATAATTATTTTAAAAAAATTAATTAATTCACAAAAACTCAGTATCTTTATGTTTTTTACTTCCTCAAGAAATTATACTTTTTATTTTCATTTTTTAATTGCCAGAGGGAGTGTGAACTCACAAGGGAGAGAGGGAGAAAGCATGCCCAGTGGAGCCTGGTCATGCCACAATTCCTTCTTCACTTCTGTCTTCCACTGGAATTTTTTTTTTTTTGAGAGATTTTCACTGTAGGGCGCGTGTGCTCGCCAGACAGACAGAGAGAGACAAGCGAGAAATCACCCCCCAGGGGGGATGGTCACACCGCAATCCCTTCTCCTCCATTCTCCTCTCGGGATCTTGGGCACGCACGCGCCCGCGCCCGGCGTGAGTTTTAAGCCACCGGGTCTGGGACACGAACCGCGGTCGACTACGTGGGAGTCCACGACATAGCCATTACGCTAACTGCTGGTTCCCTTCCACTGGAATTTTGAACATATACATACCTGTACCATCAACCCATCAAGGCTACGATTTTTATTATTATTATTTCATTTAACTTTATTTATTCATTTATTTATTTAATTTTACCATACTGGGACAGAGTGAGAGCTAGAGAGATGGAAAGTGAGAAAGGAAGCGCCAGGTCCGGGACTCAAACCATGATCATCCATGTTGGAGTCCAGCGACCTTAACCACCATGCCACCTGCCAGCCTCAAGACAAGGATTTAAATCATGGTTGACTATGTGGGATGCAGCTCCCTTAACCACTGCACTTTGGGGCTAGTCCAATTACATTTTCAACAGAACTTATAGTATAAAATTTCTGCATGAACATATCTTTATGATTACTATGTATTTTTATACATTTCTTTCCAAGATTTATAAGATAAAAATACCTTTATCTGTTACTAGTATTTTCCTTCTTTTTTTTCTCTCCTCCATCTTCCATATTTCCCGGAGACATAGAAATAAATGTTTCTAGGACAACACATGGCATGGTGGTTAAGACACTGGACTCCCGTATAACCAACCGTGGTTTGAGTCCTGGACCTGGTGGCTTCCTTTCTCATTTTCTTTCTCTCTGTGATCAAATTAAAATAATTATAATAATAAATAAAATAATTCTTTAAAAAAAAAGAGGAAGTAACAAGTAAGTGTTCCCTTGAACCAGCTCTGTGTCTTGGTGGTTAGGGCAGCCAGATTTCACACGACCAACCATATGGTTTGAGTCTCAGACCCAGCAATGTGAAAACATGCCATGAGTGTGTGTGTGTGTGTGTGTGTGTGTGTGTGGCTTGAAAATGACACTGGCCATATGTGCCTGCATGCTCAGAATCCCAGAAGGAAAATGAAGAAGGGATTGCAGTGTAGCTATCCCCGCTAGAGGGGGTGATTTCTCACTTTTCCTCTCACTGTCTCTCTCTGGTAAGTGTATGCACCCTATATTAGAAAATAAAAATAGGGACCAGTAGATGGCATAATGGTTACCTGGATAGACTCCCGTGTAGTAAACTATGGTTCAAATCCTAGACCAGGAGGCTTAAAACTCATGCCAGTCATGTTTGCATACATGCCCAAAATCCCGAGAGGAGAATGGAGAAGGGATTGTGGTGTGGCCATTCTCTCTGAGGGGGGTGATTTCTCACTTCCTCTCTCTCTAGAAAGCATGCATGCCCTATAGCAAAAATTTATCTTAAAAAAATAAATAAATAATAAGGGAGTCAGCTGGTGGCATAGTGGTCAAGGGGCTGGACTCCCACATGGCCAGCCGTGGTTTGAGTCCCAGATCTGGTGGCTAGAAACTCGTGCTGGATGCGTGTGCATGCATGCCCTAAATTCCAGAAAAGTAGAGGAGAAAGGAATGGTTTCTCACATTCTGTCTGTCTTTCTCTGTATCTCCAGCGAGCACATGCATCCTGTAGCAAATATCTCTCAGAAACAACGATAAAAACGAAAGCAAAACAAAACAAAAAAACTAAAATTTAAGTAAAAAATTTATCTGAATTAAATGGAAAATTCTTAATTATAGTGATTCTCTTCATGAGATTTATTAATCCTTTAACTGATTAGAAAGATACTTAATACATAAAAGTGTTGAGAGCAAAATAAATATGTCTTTGTCTCTTTTAATCTTAGCAAGATTAAAAAACCCCAATAAAGGTTACCTTTGAGCCTTTCTACCAGTTCAAAGTTGAGAATGCTTACACAAATAGATGTATCTTTTGTGGCTTTCAGTCATGAGTCAGAAATCCAATCACGTGGATCAGACATTGAACATATAAGGAAAAAAACTAAATTTAGCTTCATCACAATAAATTAAATGACATTTGTAAACATAATAATTACTTTTAAAATGTTCTTCACAAAAATACTTTCCGTGACCCAGAGTGACCCAGCACACCACCAAGCAACTTGGTTTGCTTTTATGTAAGTGCTTTCCATCTCGTGTTGGATCCTAGTGAAATCCTGGCAGAGAGTGGCAGTGAGGAGAGACCAGAAAGCAGCAGGAAGGTCAGGAAGGAAAGAACAAAAAGCCTCGCTCTCCGCAGTTTGGGTAAGGGCTGAATGACATGAGGGTGTAGAGGAGAACTCTACCTTCTGAGTGCCGCCTCCTCTCCCCGATTCCTCCTGGACTAGAAGGGATTAGAAATAAAATAAATCTAGCAGGCGGTGAGCACACATATTTATTCTTCTCCTAAGCCTGTGTCTACAGGATAGTACTCAGTGACTCAGCCTACATAAGCCTACTATTTAGTTTAAAAAACACTCTGACTAACCTAAGAATAAACATATGATGCCATTTTAACTCATCAAACTGTTACTGATTAACAATGTGCTACTGATGATGAAGACAAGATTTCATTTGAAACCACTTTGACTATCAGGAATGACAGTGTCGGGACCAGCAGTTAGTGTAATGGCTATGTTGCTGGACTCCCACATAGTCGACCGCGGTTTGCGTCCCAGACCCGGTGGCTTAAAACTCACGCTGGGCGCGTGCGCGTGCATGCCCAGGATCCCGAGAGGAGAATGGAAGAGAAGGGATTGCGGCGTGGCCATCCCCCCGGGGGGTGATTTCTCGCTTTCTGTCTCTATGTCTCTCTCTGTCTGTCTGGTGAGCGCACGTGCCCTATAGCAAAAACCTCTCCAAAAAAAGAGAGAGAAAAAAAAGAATGGCAGTGTCCACTAAGTTCACTATAGTTACACTACTGAATATACCCATCCTTTTAGCATCAGGAGTAGCCAGAACTTGAGCTCGTAATGTAATACCTTCCTAGAAGACAACTACAAATGCCTCAAGCTTTTTAATTTTATTTTATTAATTAATTAATTTATTTATTTTGCTATGGGGCATGTGCACTGGCCAGAGACACAGAGAAAGAAAAAGGTAAAGCAAGAAATCACCCCCTGGGAGGGGGAGGGGCACATCACAATCCCTTCTCCAATCTCCTCTCAGGATCTTGGGCACGCACACACATGCACCCGGTGTGAATTTTAAGCCACAAAGTCTGAGACTAGAACCGCAGTTGACCATGTGGCAGTCCAGTGATATAACCATTACACCATCTGCTGGTCCAGCATTTTTTTTAATAACTATTACCCTTGGAATTTATTTTACATCTACTCAAGACTCAAAATATTTTAAAATGTTATTAACCATTTATGATGTACATTTTTCTTCTTTTTTCTTTTCTTTTTTTTTGTTTGGTAATTTCTGCTAAAGGGCACATGTGCTCACTGGAAAGACAGAAAGAGGGAAAGCAAGAAAGCACCTCTAAGGGGAATGATCATGTTGCAACCTCTTCTCCTTTTTTCCTCTTAAGATTTTGGGCAAGGACAAACCGATGTTGTAATGGTTACGTTGCTGGACTCTCACGTAGTTGACCACAGTTTGAGTCTTAGACCCTGCAGCTTAAACTCACACTGGGCACATGTGTGTGTGTGTGTGTGTGTGTGTGTGTGTGTGTGTGCCCAAGATCCTGAGAGGAGAATGGAGGAGAAGGGATCTGGGGGGTGATTTCTCACTTTCTGTCTCTATGTCTCACTGTGTCTCTCCGGCAAGCACACAAGAACTATAGCAAAAATCTCTTTTTAAAAAAATTGGGGGTCACACATGCACATGTACCCGGTGTTTATTTCATACCAAGAGTCTGGGACTGGAACCAGGCAGTTGGCCATGTGGGATCCAGATGCCTAAACCATCATGCCACCAGCTGGCTCCCGATCTACATTTTTCACAGCACAATCTTTTTTTTAAAAAAAAAAAATTATTTAAAGTTTATTTTTTTTATTATTATTTTTAATTTGCTGCAGGGAATGTGTACTCAACAGAGTGAGAAAGAGAGTGAGAAACCAAGATGCCAGGTTCAGGACTCAAACTATGGTAGGCCATGTGGGAGTCCAGCACCTTATACACCATGCCACCCCAAAACGGTTTTTTTTTTTTTTTAGAGGTTTTTGGTATACGGCATGTGAGCTTGCCAGGAAGACAGAGACAGAGAGACAGAAAGCGAGAAATCACCCCCCAGAGGGGAATGACCACACTGCAATCCTTTCTCCTCTTCTCCTTTTGGGATCTTGGGCATGCACACATATATGCCTGGCATGAGTTTAAGTCACTGGGTCCTGGGAAGAGAATGAAGGAGATGGGATTGTGGTGTGGCCATCCCCCATGTGTGTTGATTTATCACTTTCCCTGTCACTGTCTCTGTGTCTCTCTGGTGAGAACACATGCCCTAAGGTAAAAACCTCTTTAAAACACATAGTCACACAATTCTAAACCAGTATTGTCTAATAAAAAGAAGATGAGCCACATAGGTAATTTTCTAGTAGAAGTAAAAAGAAACAGGTGAAATCAACTATTCATTTCCTGCTCACTGCTGTGACAAATTACTACTAACAGTGGCTTAACAAATTTATTTACTTTTGACTTTTAGCTCAGAGGAAGTCCAGGTGCAACTTTCTTCGGTTTTCCTGAATCCAGATTCATCTGACACCAGCTTCCTCCACCATGCCTTCCAAGTTCAATCCTAATGAGATTAAATATACTTGAGGTGCACCAGTGACAAAGTGGGTGTCACATCTATCCTGGCCTCCAAGAACAGCCCCCTGGGTCTGTCTCCAAAAAACATCAGTGATAACATTGACGAGACAACAAGAAGACAAATTGTACAATGTATACCTAAGTAACTGAATTAAGTGACTGGAAAGGTCTGAGGATTACTGACCATTCTGGCCTGGAGTGATTCCATCCTGCACAGCTATTTTCAAGAGCTGTAGTCATTAACCTCTGTCTGCCTTGTGCCACCACTCCATGGAAGATTGGATGGACATGGACATGAGCCCTTGACCGCCATTTGGTTGTGAACATGGCAACCTTATCTTTAAGAATGGTCAGTTTAGGGGTTGGTGTAAAGGATGTATTGCACATTGTTGAAGCAGAGGCAATGAATTATGAAGGCAGTCCAAGTAAAATAACACTGGCAACACTAAAAATGTCTGTATAGCTAATGCTTTTCCTTGGGGGTTTCGAAATAACACTTCCTGTGGTCTTAAGGTTGAAGTGTGGTTCAGGGCCTGTGCATATTAGTGGACAGCACTTAGTAGCTCTGGAGGAAGATGCAGAGTCAGAAGAGGAAGAGGACATGAAACTCTTAAGTATATCTGGAAAGCAATCTGACCCTGGAGGTGGTAGCAAAGTTCCACAGAAAAAAAAAAAAAACTTGCTGCTGATAAAGATGATGATGAAGATAATGATGATGATGAATTTGAAGATGAGGAAACAGAAGAAAAAACTTCAGTGAAGAAATCTATACAAGATACTCATGGCAAAAATAGTCAAAAATAAAACCAAAATGGAAAAGCCCAGCAATGCCAAGATCAAAAGGTCTCAAGAATCATTAAAAAAAGGGAACCAGCAGTTAGCGTAATGGCTATGTCGCTGGACTCCCACGTAGTCGACCGCGGTTCGCGTCCCGTACCTGGTGGCTTAAAACTCACGCCGGGTGTGTGTGTGTGCGTGCCCAAGATCCCGAGAGGAGAATGGACGAGAAGGGATTGCGGCGTGACCATCCCCCCTGGGGGGGGTGATTTCTCACTTTCTGTCTCTATGTCTCTCTCTGTCTGTCTGGAGAGCGCACGCGCCCTGTAGCGAAAACCTCCTAAAAAAAAAAAAAAAAAAAAAAAAAAAAAAAAATTTTAAAAAAAAAAAAAAAACCAAAAAAAAAAAAAAAAAAAAAAAAAAAAAAGAATCATTTAAAAAAAAAACAAAACCTAAAACAAAACAGAAAAAAAAAAAAAAAAAAAAACCCTAAAACACCAAAGGACCTAGTTCTCCAGAAGACATTAAAGCAAAAATGCAAACTCTTCTAATAGTCTTTCTCCTTAGATGCAAGATTTTCACTGGAACCAGAAGTTGGTGTAATGACTATGTTGCTGGACTCCCTGTAGTTGACCAAGGTTCGAGTCCCAGACCTGTTGGCTTAAACTCATGCTGGGCACATGTGCATGCATGCCCAAGATCCTGAGAGGAAAATGGAGGAGAAGGGATTGTGGCATGGCCGTCCCCCATAGGGGGTGATTTCTCGCTTTTGTCTCTCTGTCTTTCTGGTAAGTGTCTGCACCCTGTAGCAAAAACCTCTCCAAAAAAAAAAAAAAAAAAGCAGCAGCAGCAGTAGTTCTCTTCCCAAAGCCGTAGCCAAGTTTATCAATTACGTGAAGAATTGCTTCCAGATGACTTACCAGGAGGCTATTCAAGATCTCTGGCAATGGAGGAAGTCTCTTTGAGAAAATACTTTAAACAGTTTGTTAAAATTTTCCATCTTATTTCATTTCTATAACAGTTGCTATCCAGTTGTCATTTTTATAATGCAGAGTGAGATCTTTCCTTACCATGTTTGAGAAACGTTGTCCAGGTCCCATTGCCAAGAATGTGTTGTCCAAAGTGCCTGCTTAGCTTTTAAAGATGGAACTCTACCCTTGCATTGGTTTTAAGTATGTATGGAATATGATAGGACACGGTAGTAGTGGTGGTCAGATATGGAAATGGTGGGGAGACAAAAATATACATGTGAAATAAACTCATTCTTTTAATAAAGTTAAAAAAAAAAAAGAAAGAAACTGACCATTCAGCATATACAGGCCCAGATTGAAGTGATACCTTCTGCCTCCACATTAATCATCAAAGCACTCAAGGAACCACCAAAAGACAGAAAGCAGCAGACGGACATTAAATATAGTGGAAATATCACTTTTGATGAGATTATCAACATTGCCCGACAGATGAGGCACCAATCTTTAGCCAGATAACTTTCTAGAACTATATAAAAGATCCTGGGGACAGCTCAGTCTGTGGTCTGCAATGTCCATGGCCGCCACCCTTATGACATAATAGATGACATCAATAGTGGCACAGTGAAATGCCCAGCTAGTTAAGAAGTACAAAGGAAAACATCTCAATGAAGGATCATCTGACAACCAAAACAAACAAACAACAAATAAACAATTTATTTATTCATTTTTGCATAGGTCAGTGGGTCAGTGGTCCAACGTAAATCTTACTGGGCAAAACCCCAAGGTGTCAGCAGGGCTGCAATCTACCCTAGGGGAGAATTTATTTGCTTGTCTTTTCCAGCTTCTTAGAGGCCTCC